AATCATCAAATAGATGAGGGACCCGATCAGTTCTTGATATTCCTGTCGGCGCTCTGGGTTTACCTGTCAGATTTTACGTCTAGTATTCGACCCTTTACGGCTTTATTGGTTCACCCAGAAGCCTCTTGTACGGCGATATTCCTCTACGAGGTCTACAAGTAAATACCGCCTTCATACGTCTATTCTGGCGCTAGGTATCCCATTGGTACTTTTAGCGCTTACGCATTCGTGTGGCTCCGCGTTCATCGCATAGGGCCACGTTCATTGCTTACGTAGCCGTCCCGCATTACCGTGGGACTTGGACTGCATAGTAGTTACGAATACGGTAGTGACTTCACACGCTCCTGTCATATATATACAGTCGCTACCATGAATATCATCTAAGTCTTCTCTCTACCTCGAACGACTACCATCGTCAGCTACCAGCCTAACACGCTACTAACTCAACCTTCAACATAACTGCCCGGTGAGTCTGCGCTTTTATAGACTTCCCAGCTATACTCGCGTTCGTCCTTTGTCATTACCGGGTCTGGATTTTTAATTGCCGTGTACCCTGTAGGGAGTGGCGTAGGCGCTGAGCGCGCGTTGTGGTAACCAAAGCGCACAAGGACTTTCCGCAGGTAATCCGATTGGTCTAGACGAATCGTAGACAGGTTGGGCCTGGTTAGTCTCATGCGCAGGAATTCTTTGGTATCACCAAGATCCCGACATTCCCAGTGTTTCATGAATTCAGCCTTCACGCGGATTAAAACCTCACGATCCGGCCCGAAGAACAAAGCGTCGTCAACGTAGATCACCGCAATGACCATGTTGATAGTACGATGCTTGAACTTGTAGACACCAGCATCAGACTGGATTTGTTCGAAGCCCAGCTCTTTTAGGGATTTGCGAAGAGCCTGCCACCATTGGCGACCGGCTTGCTTCAACCCGTATAGAGCCTTGTGCAAGCGCCAAACCTTGCGCAAGTTGTTGGGGGTGTGAAACCCCTTCGGCACCTCCATATAAATCTCCTCATCCAGATCGCCATAGAGGTAGGCGTTCCGCACATCGAGGCCAGAGACGTACCAGCCTTTGAGCGCTGTGAGTGCCAGTATGGTGCGAACGGTTTCGAAGTGCACTACTGGGGAGAAGACTTCGGAGAAGTCGATGCCTTCGCGCTGGGAAAAACCCTTAGCGACCAGGCATGCCTTTCGGCGGCCATCTGTTTTCATGTCGAATACCCATCGACACCTAATCACCCTACGACCGGGCGGTAGGTCAACTTCCGTGAAGACACCCCGTCGGACAAGAGCTTCAATCTCGTCACGACAAGCCTGCATCCAGGCTTCCGACTCCTCGGCGGGCAATGATATTATGTCTTCATACTTCCATTCCCTCACGTTTGCGAGGTCTGGTCCAAGATTCGTGGATGCTGCGTACACGTGTAAGAGCATACGATCCACAAACTTTGCTGCTGCTTCCTTCGCCGAAGCGATATGCGCCGCTGCGTTTCGCATTAACGCGTGCGGAAGGGGTTCTAATTCCCTTGATGCGAGGGCCATGAGTGAGGTGGGGCCATCGTTGTGGTCAATAGGCGTCGGGTTTCTATGCCTCTGCCAGAGGTTTTTGAAACGTTCCTGCATCCCTTCGACCTCATCTATGGTGAGATTTGGATCGGTGGGCGTCAAGACGTCAGATTCAAGGCGAATGCCTGTCTTCTGCCATTTTGCCGGCGGGCGTGCGTCCTCCTCATCTCTGAGAAGGTCGTGATCCCGCTCTACAGGATTTCCTCGGAAGCGCTTATAGACCGTACCCTCTAATTGTTGGTTGATATTCCTCAATCTCTCTACTGGGGTGCGTCCCGGTATAGCGTTGTTGGGATCCTCGATCGCGTTCCTCGTGCGCCCAGATCTCCGTAAGCCGGTCGGCGCTGGTCCGGCAGGATTGACAATTCGAGGGTCTAGATCCACCCTTGGTTCGCGATGCGGTGAACGCAAGTCGCGTTCCAACGGAGCTGGCTCTTCGTCAGGATCCGGCAGAAGATCTTGTTGTTCCCTTCGTGAGGGGTCATCTGCTGGTGGATTCTGGTACAAACCCTCATACTCGTCGTCGTCGAATTCGCCTTCACCGTATTCCGGTTCGAGCTCCTTCTCCAACTCCTCGTAATCATCCTCGTCAAAATCCTCGACCTTAGGCTGTTGCCTTTTGCGCTTCTCGTCTGGAGTGTCTGACCTTGGCGTTGGAGGCGGGCTTCGGTCTCGCCGCCCGTCGGCAGGTCCACCGTTGCCACCTTGGTCAGGAAACATATCGGCAGGAGACGATGGTCGGTCGTCGTCCAAACCAGAAGGACTGGAGTTGGTTTCAATGATGGGAAACCTAGGTGGTAGTAGCTCATCCACCTCTGGTAAGCGCGTAAAGCGCTTGGTGTTCTGTTGCCAGAACATAGTACGCTTCGGAAAGGTCTGCTCATCGAACGTTGCGTTAACAGCGACCCGTAGCCTCCATTCTCCGGTTAGGAACAGTCTCCCGTTCCCTGCCGGTGACTCCCCGACGTAAATACATGCCTGGGATCTTGGAACAAGCTTGTTGGCTCGTTCCTCAGGAGTAAGGTACACGTACGCCAGACATCCGAAGACACGCAAGTAGTCGACGCGGGGTTTTTTTACGCTCCACGACTTCATACGGCGATTTCCGCTTCAGACGTTTCATGGGCGTCCTGTTATAGACGTGGCATGCGTGCTCGATGGCGAAGTTCCATAGGAACGGCGGCAAATTGGCGTGATGCAGCATAGTCATAGCTTTTTTGTCTAAGGTGCGAATGATCTGTTCCGCCCTGCCATTTGTTTCATGGTTGTATGGTGTTGATTGGAGGATGCAAATGCCACGCGATTCTAAACTTTTGGTAAAGGCTCGCGATTTAAACTCTCCCCCTGCATCGCTCATCCACATCCGAATCGTTTTGTGGTACTGATTCAGCAGCATGCTAAACCAGGTCTCTACGGCTTGGTGGGCGTCGCTCTTCCGATGCAGAAGCATCGCCCATGCGTAGGACGTGCAGTCATCCATCAGGACAAGAGCATAATATTTTTTATTCCATGACTCGACTGTGAACTCTTTGAGATCGGCATGGATTAATCCAAGGAACTCGTTGCTGCGATGTTCGTTTGGTGGGAACGGAACTTGATGCTTTTTACCAAGCATGCACCCCTCGCATGGTCGACGAATTGTCAGCGAGGGTAAGCTAAGACTCGAAGGAACTCCTTCGACATGTTTTCGTGCGTTGCGAAGCACTTCGTCCGAGCAATGCCCGAGACGTTGGTGCCAGATCTGAAAGTCGGGTAAATTCATTCCGACAACACCAGTCGCATGAGCCTGGTGCAGATCTAATGATGTGTGAACCCAAAATAGGTTCCCCCCAGGGCACACTGTAGCGTGCACCACTTCTTGTGACTTATTGGCGGTGAGCACCACCAACTTGTCGGCATCTCCGTGCAGAATATTCCCGTTACGGCAGAATTGACCCGTCGAAAGCATACGAACGGTTCCACCAGGAAGGTAGAAAACGGGGTAGATTCGGGTAGTGCATGGTTTCCCACGCGTGTTTTCATGGCGAAGGACAACTGTCCCTGAGCCCTCACACCGGATAGATCCGGACGATGTTGAGACGTTGAATTTCTCTTCCTCTGGTAGTTCCTCATACTCGGCAAAATCCGAGAGTTCGAACGTGAAGTGCGTGGATGCACCTGAGTCAAGCACCCATCCGATAGGATAGCGTGCATGCAACTTGTCATGAAGAGATTTCTCACGGTCGAAGTCGCGTACGACCAATGCCTTATCGATGCAGATATCACACCACTGAGAACTTGAATGTACACATTGTCCATTCATTACGTCTGCAGATACATGCGAAGAAATACTACTAACTACGTATGGTTCACCTGTAAAGGATTTAGCACCAGAAACGTTGTCAGAGGCATCGAAAAAACTGGTTGCGCACCAGACCGACTCGCAATCGAGTGACACCGCCCGTTCTCCGCCCTGTTCGGACGGCTCCTTGAGTGACATGCCCTCGAACTCCTCAATGTCGTCCTCATAGCCGTACTCTGGCAACTTGGACCGGAGTGGGCGCCATAGCGCGGCGAAGGTCCTCCTTCTGTTGCTGGTACTGCGCGTACGCCTCCACGTTAAGCCAGCCCTTGTGGCCGGTTGCAGAGTCGTCGACATAAGCACCACCGCCGGCGAGGCGATCACCAAGCTTCTGACGCTTTTGGTAGTCAGAAAACTTGGTGCGCTTGAGGGGACCTAACCCAGACACATATTGGTCAGAGTCAGAAGCACGCGGAGTGGTAACCGACGGCTTACAAGCAGGCTCCTCTACCGGCTCGATACGAGCCGACAGAGGCGGGGACGCTGAGGGGCCCATGGAGAGCCGCTGGATAAGCGGCGTCTCTCCCGCAAACGCGGGCAACTCGGCGCGTGTTCCCTCAAAGGTGGGCGCAATGCCCTGGTCCCGCTGGCGCTTGAGTGCGCCTGCAGTTCCGTGAGGGGGCGCCGGAGCGCTGCTGCGGCCTTGATAGGCCATCGCGGGTTGGTGGGACCGCTTGCGCGGATCGGGGGTTGGTTCGGAGAAAACTGGTGGAGAGTATGAGGGGCCAGACGGCCCGGAAGCGACGTGCGCGACGTGGTAGATGGGAGCCGGCGTTGTGAATGTTGCCGAGTAGTTGGCAGCGGCGGGTGCGGCACTCTGCGGCGCCGGGGATGGCGTCGCATTGGCAGGAGCCGACGACGAAGCCGCGTTAGCGGCCGCCGGCTTCTGTTGCTGCTGCTGTTGCTGCTGCGCCTGGTGCTCCTTGCGCTCCTTCTTGGAAGGACGCTTCTTCTTGCCGTCGGATGACGACTGGCCGTTGTACTGCTTAGTACCGGAGCTGGCCTTGTTGGCCTGCTCCTCCTTCACCTGAGGCGCCTTCTTCTTCTTCTGCGATGCGGAGCGTAACTCCCAGTCGCTGCGGATGTGCGTCATGACGAGCTCCTTCGTCAGAGTTCCAAGAGAAATGGGGACGGTAGCCCCAGCGCCGGCAGCGACTTGCGCCGACGAACTCTTGAACTGAGTGGCGTTGATGGCGTGCTTAGCGGCTTCATAGCCGCTGGGGATCTTCAAGAACAGGATGGCGCCAGCAAACTCGCTAGGCACCTTCCCGCCGAGGGAGGTGTATCGGTCAAGGGAGGCGACAATCTTGGCCATCGCCGGGTTGGGGTCGGTGTCGGCAGGGATCTGGGTGTTGAGGGCTAACTTGAGCTCGTTGATTGCGGTACTGATACCGCGCGCTTGCGCGCTGCCGGCGAGCTTGTCGAGGATCACACGCGCCTCGTCCAAGCCCTTAACAATCTCGCGTTGATCGTGGCTGAGCGCCTCGAGAATTTTGCCGACCGCCATGTCGTTGTGCGTCTCCCATTGGTTGACCTCCTTGAAGTCCGAGGTGAGCGTCTTCATCTCCGCGCGGGTGTTACGCAGAGCCCATCCGGCCCCTGAGGCCCGGATATGGTTCTCCATACGGGTACGCCAGGAAAGGAGATCGGTACCGTTGTAGATACCGCAGATCTGAGCAGACGTGGAGAGGGTGAGGTTGCCAGAAGTAGACATGTTGATGAATCTGGGGTAAAGATAACGTCAGCGTGGGTACACTAGACGGATTACATCGTGCCCAGGCGAGTCCGCGGTAGACTAGCGGTCTAGACCTCCAGAGCCGTTCGAGACCCGAACCGGTTAAGGTGCATGGGTTCTCACGGATGTGGGAAGAGCCCTTCACACATGACAGGAGGGTGTCCCCTTGATTCCTGCCGCCCTGGTGTTTACCAGTGGGCGAAGGGGGAAACCACTTCGGATGAACCATCGTGGAATTGCTCCCCCTCATGGCATACTAAGCTGCCTTGAGGTACTAGGATCCGCCGCGCCCCGCGGGGCTCATAACCTGACAAAGGACGAACACGAGTATAGCTGGGAAGTCTATAAAAGCGCAGACTCACCGGGCAGTTATGTTGAAGGTTGAGTTAGTAGCGTGTTAGGCTGGTAGCTGACGATGGTAGTCGTTCGAGGTAGAGAGAAGACTTAGATGATATTCATGGTAGCGACTGTATATATATGACAGGAGCGTGTGAAGTCACTACCGTATTCGTAACTACTATGCAGTCCAAGTCCCACGGTAATGCGGGACGGCTACGTAAGCAATGAACGTGGCCCTATGCGATGAACGCGGAGCCACACGAATGCGTAAGCGCTAAAAGTACCAATGGGATACCTAGCGCCAGAATAGACGTATGAAGGCGGTATTTACTTGTAGACCTCGTAGAGGAATATCGCCGTACAAGA